ATTCCCTGCTGGTCCCCCTTGGTAAGTTTAGAGATGGACACCAGATCCTCTCTCAGCCTTCTTTTGTGGAGGCTGAACAGGTTCAGGTCCCGTAGCCTCTCCTTTTAGGGTCTGCCCTGCTGCCCCCGATCATGCGAGTGGCCCTCCTTTGGAGCTGGCCACATCCCTCCTGAATTGCAGCACCCAGAACTGGATGCAGTACTCCAACTGCAGCCTGACCAATGTCGCATAGAGGGGGAGGATCACCTCCTTGGACCTGCTCGTGATTCATCTGTGGATGCATGACAAGGTGCAGTTAGCTTTCCTGACCGCGTCCTCACATTGGCAGCCCATGTTCATCTTGGAATCAATAGCAACTCCAAGATCCTTTTCTGCCTTTGTGCTGACAAGAAGGAGTGTAAACTCCTCCAGTTTAGTTTTCACTTACAGTACAATAAGAATATGTGGATAAACAGTCACTGCATGTAGAAGGTCTGCAGTGAGTCTCTTTCGCTTTTTAAGTTACAGAAGTTCAATAATTTGTCTATTGTCTAAAACTCCTTAAATTCACATTTGTACTAATGAACAAATATTGCATGATCAGCTAATAAAATGTCCTTTTGTTGAGTGTCCACACTAAGAGGTAGAATGGGGATCACTGCTTGAACCTTACTTTTGATGTTAGCATGATTCACTTCTCAAAGTTAATGTTGCATTCATATGGTAATATGCATATAATGTGTTAATTAATATTACTTTCATTTTAATGAATGTCCATACCACATGAAACCTCATTTACTAACAATTCTCATAAGTTCTTAAACTGAAGTGGCATAAAGCAAAAAAGTTGAGTGTAAAATCAGAAATGAAAGAACAAAATTGGTTTTCAAATATTTAGTGCTAGATCCAACTTCTGGTAAACTTATGAGAAGATTCCCACCGACTTCAACAGAAGCTGAATCAGGCCCTTAGGGCTCTACTGATAATATGCTGAGGCTCAGCAACAATTCATCCAAGGGACAATGAATGTATCAAATAATTGAAATATGTACTTAAGTATTTAAAAATTAATTAATCACAAAATGGCAATACTTTAAAGATTATATTAGATGCAGGGTTGACTTCATCATTTAAATTAAAGAAGTTTATTTTACAATAATAATTATTTACACTTACAGAGGGTATTCTTTGCAAGAGTTTCACTATGCTTATAGGCATGAACTTAACCTTACAAAATCTCTAAGTGTTAATATCTCTAATTTACATATAATGAAACTAAGATACAGGAGAGTGAGTGCATCTACACGAGATGCTACTGCACTGTGGCTAGCATGCAGTAGTGCCAGAGAACGTCTATTAAATGATGCTACTGCACAGTAGTGTATTAGCACTGTCTGCACTGTGACGCGCTACTGTGCGGTATTATTTGCCTACTGTATAGTCAGCGTCTCATGTAGACATGGCCAGTAAGGGTTAAATTTTTACCAGGTATGTGTACACAACAACAAATGTACATGTGCGCATAGCTAACAGACTACCATATTTCACGGTGTACAAGTTGATGCAGTGTATAAGGTGACCCCATTTTTCTGATTCAAAAAGTTACAATTTTCATAGATCCAGGTTATAAACTGACCTAACCTTTTGGATCAGAAATATGGGGTAAATTTATACTGGCCTCTGAGTGCTCTCACTGTGGGCCAGGCACCCGGGGGGTGGACACATGCTGCAGCGTCGCTTGCAGGGGATGGGCTTGGGCTTGGTGCTCAGCTGGCGCAGCCCAGACCATGTCACTGACAAGGGACAGGACCAGGCTCGGTGCTTGGCTGGTGTGGCCTAGGCAGCGCCACTCACAGGGGATGGGGATGGGGATTGGGCCAGGCTCAGCACAACTGGTGCAACCCAGGCAGCACTACCTGCAAAGGATGGGGCTAGGTTTGCACTCGGCTGATGTGGCAGCGCCACTTGCAAAGCATGGGAGTTGGGCTCACTGTGCAGGTGAGTGGTGTCTCTATGGTGACGTGAAGGCCCACAAGCCATGCTCAGGCCAAGCCTGGGCCCCAGAGCCTCCAGCAACAGGGACGCCATCTCGCGATAGGTGAAGAAGGCCGGGTTGGGTCAGAGCCAGGCCAGGGTTTGGCCAAGGCTGGGACTGGGCTGGCACTGGGGTGGGGGTCAAAAGTATTAATATGGTGTATAAGTCTAAGTGGAAATTTAAAGGTAAATATTTTGGCTTCAAACTGACTTATACACTGTGAAATATGGTAAATGAATAAGAGGTCCCAGAATGGGAATTCTTGTCTACAATAATGTAAGTAGCAGGGAAAACAGGTGGAAGTATGGTATATGGGACACTTTTAAGAATACCCATCATTAGGTTATTTAAATAAATTTTGATGAAGGGAAGATAGATTGATTTAAAGACACATTGTAGTACAATGACGGAAGAATGTTTGAATGGAGGGGATCTGGATAAAGGAGCCCAAGATAGGAGTGACTGCCACTGCTTGGCCTCATGCACCCAGTGTTTGGAAGAATGATGATGCTGGTGATAATGTCTGCATGGAAATATACAACATGGCCAAGCACTTTATATATACACAAATGTATAGACTATCCTCTGGGTAATGAACTAACCACATACAAATACTTAACTCACATGTGTACAATGTAATTTCCTTGCATAATTAGGAAGGTTTAGATGAAAATACCAAGTTCTTTGTTTTTCATTTTGACAGTCTATTCTTAAATAAACTGACCAAGATCTTATAGATTTTCTGACTTCTAATCCTATGTTTTAATCACATCCTTCTCTCCTGTTTCATTAAAAGGATCAAGGATCGCAGGAAGGGATGATTTCCTTTGATATGCAGAGCTGCACTGGAATAAGGAAAACAATATAATACATACTAGGTGCGTCTACACATGTCCCTGACTGTGTAGTTGGTACTGCATAGTCCCAGCGCACATGGGTCATTTCTGACCCTACTGTGCAGTAGCTCATTGCAATACTACATCACTATAGCATCTCATGTAGATGGGCCCAGTATGTACATAATGCTACTACACTCCCCTTTTCACTTTGTTTTACAGTAGGACTTTTGCCTAGTATCTTCTCTAGATCTCTCCTTCCTGGCTCTTGCTACAGAGTTAACAAACAGAAAAGTATATATATCTTAATACTTCTCATTGTCACAACCCAAAGTTGTGATTTTTGTTTTGTGTGTGCTTTGGCACCACTGAATTATGTTCCCGCTAAATTGCAGCTTCTTTGCACGGTGGAGTTTTCTGCTGCAGAGGAAAACCCCGGTGCAAAAAAGATTCCCGCCAATTTGTAGCTTTCTTTGCAGTGTGCATTTCTTCTTTGCAGCACAGAAATGCTCGTTCCAAAGAGTTCCCGCCATTTGTATTCTAATTCGAGCCCCATTATTGGCTTGCGTTAAATTATTCACACGTGGCGGCTAGCGATTGGCTTGCTAGCCGTATAAAAGGCTTGGGTGGTTTCTGCCCAAGTTGGAGAACTTTGAGCATGCTGCAGAGTGCCTCTACGGAGATTTGACTTGAGGCTGCTGATCGATAGACTGATCACCTATCGATTCTTCTCCCCGTCGCCGCCTGATCCCTCGACGTACCCTTCCCTGCGCGCTTTCGTTCCACGAAGCCTAGCAAACTTCATGTGAGTCTATTTAGAGCTCTTCGAAAGGATCCACGGAGCCTCGACAACTCCGTGGGAGTGATCGAATATTGTCTGAGTCCTCAAACGAGGATTTAAGCGGAGCTGTGCCTGGGAAACTGTCCAGCCTACACCGCGACCATCTTCGGTGTAAGTAAACAATTTTGAATCAACCATTACGCGTCCGTGACTAATTCCAGTGTGTCGCCTGTTCTCTCCGACCCAGCATGCCCGGGCTGCTGGCCACAGCCTGCGCGGCGCGAAAAAGGGCCCGGACCGCTCCCCGCCGCCCGCAAAAGCAATTAAGAAAGGGTCTTAGTTTTCTACTTTGTGGGTGCAATTATGTGCAATTACACATACAATTAAGATGGAGCAATAAACTCTGACATAGTCCATGACAGAATCAACTGCTCCCAGGTGCAGGGTCCACATGTGCACCTGGGACTGCAGCATTTTGGGCTGAGACAAAGTAACCAAGGCCTGGTACGGGGCCCAGGGGGTCAGCCCTGGACTCCAGGTAGCAGCATTGGGCAGCATTGGGGCTGGCTGGGGTAGAAGAGCAGGCAGCCCCTACACTTTAGCATTCTTGTACTGCAGCCAGCCCCTGTCACCAACTACACGTATTTCAGAGCATACAAATACTCCGCCGTTCAATAATACTATCTCCATACTATCTTACAGCACAGTTAATAAATTTACTATGCCCTAACACCAGTACATGTGTAGGTGGTGATGCTTTACTGAAGAGCTAATTAGTCTACTCTGCAGTAACATGCATGTGTAGATGCACTCTGTGATATACAATTTGTGGCTTACTCACTCCTTACTAAAATGCCAAGTCCCACTGATTGCAACAAAACTACTTTAATTCCAGAACAGGGGGCCATTCTGGCAAATACTTACTTTGCCCAAACTCTTCCAGTGGATGCACAAAATGAATGTCATTCTCTTTATTGGGACTCCTTTGTAGGAGTACATACCTGGAAGGCTGTGTAAGCTCTACTATCTGGCCTTTAATATTTGTTTGTATAAGAATTTCAGGGTTAGGTTCCTTTACTCTTAATTCTGCTTGTATGAAATTAACCCTTTCCTGATTTCTGTACAACTGAGGTGTGTTAATCTATTTCACTTTGTAGCTTCTACACTGTGCATACAAGTAAGAATTGAGTCAGAAGCAGTCGCACTGTTTTAAAAGCTTTTTTTCTTTCCCACAAATAAAGACACCATCTCTTTTTCCAAGGAAACAGTTCGAATTAACCAATAACCCCCTACAAGTATAACATGTTGGTGATATAGAACAAGTATTGATTAAAACAAAAAGTCCTTTTTAAACAGTATTAATTCTTACCAACTCCAGTAGTTATTGATTCTGCATCAATGTCATTAGCCTTTTTCTTTGCCACCTCAGCTAGCGCCAATTCACCCTTATCTAGTGCAAGGTAATGGATGTCCTTTGGAAATAAAGCAAAAAAAAGATTAATCTAAAATGAATCTTGGACAAGTAACAAAGGAGAATTTGAACAAGAAAGAGGCTCTTTTATTGCTTAGATTACAAACACAGATGGAACTGATGAACCTACTGTTACATTTTAATTTTCTCTTATTCTTTCCAAATGCAAATTTATTATCTTACTCATGTTGTTGAATACAAGGTCTCTGGTTAACAATACATAAAACATCGACCATCCATGAACTGATAAAAGGAGGCTGTCAGCACTGCCTGGATAAATGAATCCAAGTATTTTTGATGCCTATGCTTATGTTTGATGCAATACAAATTGCGGGGACTTTCGCTGGGTTATGATTTGCAGTATCTTCTTTTGTGTGGCTCTTTGTTTACATATGACCTAAATTTCAGGAAGTCCCTAGATCTGAAGCTTGTATTTGGGGTGTGAAAGTATTTCTACCTGCGTAACTCTCGAGTTAAAGTTGTGTTGGCAACTCATTTTATGTAGAGAGGGCACGCCTACATGTGTACTTTAATGTGCAGTAGTCTATTTTAATGTGCATTAAAGCATCACTAAAAACATGGGACATTTATACACATGCCTTTCCCACGCGTTGAAGCAGACTCTATTAATAGAGTCTGTGGAGCACATGAGCTGACGCGCCCAGCGCTGTGTTGCACACATCTGTATAAATAGCAAAATGTGTATCAGTGTGCAGAAAATGGTGGTGGTGTGCTTTTGAACTAAAACACCTTTTGCTGTTTATACAAATGCACCTGATGCAGTGCTGGGCCCTTTTAAAAGCGCATGATGCTGCAGCGAATGCATGCATGCAAATGCCCATGCTTTTTAGTTAATGTGCATTACAATAGGCAAATGTACACTAAACATCACTTAAAAACCATAGGTGCCTATACATGAGCAGGGCCACTGCTCCAACATGTTGTAATTCTAGCACATTGGAGCAGACTCAATTAATTACCGTGCTCCAGCAGCCTCCCATGTCTCGTGTATCAGTGTCCCCACACTTCAAAATGGTGGCGGGGGTACTTTATCTAAACCTCATTTGATGAGCTTTGGATAAAGCACCCCTGATGCCATTTTGAAGTGTGGGGACACTGATACATAAGACACCTCAGGCGCTTTAGTTAAAGCAGCTCTCAAAGCCTCTCTAAAAAGCAATTCCCCCACACCCAACTCCCAGAGCATGTTTGTAAATGTCCTGTGCTCTTTAGTTAACGCACATTAAGACAGGATAATGCTCATTTTGTTAGTACCTCACAACGGAGGGCATATATACACATACTTTTCCACACTGTGACATGTTGGAGATCCAGCACGTCGGAGCAGACAATTGAGTCTGCTCTGCATGCAAGCTGACAGGCACCATGCTGCATTGCTTGCAGTTGTATAAGTGACAAAATGCGTCAGCGCAGCTAAAATGGTGGCAGTGCCCTTTTGACCTAAAACACCTTCAATGTATTTTACTTCAAAAGTGGACCGTCACCATTTTCTGTGCACTGATGCGCATTTCACCGCTTATACAATTGCGTGGGTTGCAGCACCAGGTGCTTTTCAAAGCATGTTAGCACTAAAGCATGTAAACGCATGAGTAGACATGCCCAGATTATCACAATGCACTGGGAATTCTCTGCGCCCACAGGCGGATGTAGGATTTTGAAAAGGAGGGTGCAGATGGTGTGGTGCATCATCACATATAACACAACACATATTTTTCTCCAATTAAAAAGAAACTAGAAGCTTTATTAACACAAGAGGCTTAGGGCTATATTATTCAGTTTAAGGTCAAAGCAAAAACAAATATAACTTTATTGGAATGTACACTAATTTGATATTTTACACATTATGTATAAAAGCACACCAAACAAGTCAAATAATTAAAAGATAGCATTTAATTAATTATGTAATTATTAGAATTAAATGTACGTCTCTTATTCAGATTTATCAAACAAAATCTATTTTTTCTCCCATTGCGGCATACTTCCCCTATTGTTGAATTAAACCAAGTTTTAATTCCTTGGAGGGTAGAAAAACTTTTCTGATGTAGCCATAGATGCAGGAAATGCAGGCAACTTGAGTATAATATGAATGTTTGAAAACTTTTTCTTGTTGCAGATTGTTAGACTATCAATGGCTGTATTTGGCACTTCTTGTTTTCTCCATGCCTTCCCACTTCTTCCACATTTGAAATTCTGCCAGAAATACCTTTTCCTCTGACAAGTCTTCATCATACATCTCTAAAATACAGTTGTTTTGTAGCTGGATATTGACTTGAAAAAGAAGGTATTAGAATGCCTAGATCTGTTACAGTGCTGCCATGCAACGTAAATCTCTGTGTCATTTCTTGAATCATGGAGTCCAAAAATGGGGTCTAGGTGTTAATTTGAAAATAGTCCTCAACACTGCCACATGAAACACCGCATCTGTGTTGATGCTGGGCTACAAGCTAAGGAAATTTTACCTCAGCGTCATGTTTTCTTGCGACTGACTGAATGTTATTAAATAGTTCTGTGCACTCTTCTTTAGAGTTAAACCTTTTATCTTCAACCAACTCAACTGCTACTTTTAGTTTGTTATAACAACATAGCACAGTACCAGCATTCACCTTCTGAAGCTCCTCGGACATGGAAGGGTGATTCCTAATAGTGATTCAGGGATCAAGTTGATGATAAATTCAAAATTGCACTTGTTTTTGTAGTGCATATTTGCTTGATCTCTGATAGTTTTGCCACAGGCAGCTGCATTGCTTCCAGAACTGCAATGTTAGCTTTACAGAACTCAGTGAACACCATGATACTGTCATGTTGCTCCGCTTACTTTGTACACAGGGCAGGTGTTTGTACTCTCTGGACACATAGAATTGATAGTGTCTATTTCCCTTGCATGTGCACAGCAGGAGGCATGACTGGGGTTGTGCATTAGATCCCATTGCACCTTATTGCCAGTACAAGGGAAGCCCAGGTGACCCTCCAGCCCCAGGGCTTTTCTGCACTCTGGAGCCCTTGGGATCACAGCAGCTGTAGTCCCCAGACCCTGGGGATTATGGCTGCTATGATCCCTAGGGCTCGGGGCAGGGTAGGTGCGAAACCCCTGGACCCTGGGTATCGTGGTTGCCATAATCCCTAAGGCTCAGAGGTTTTTCGCTGGGCATAGTGCACCCTTGTGGCTGGGAGCCCCATCAGCTGATGGGGCTCCTAGCAGCAGGGGAGACCCTGCTACATGTGCAAAGTAAAGCTCAATCACAACCGGGTATAAAGTTAGTGCATATTTTCAAGGTCTGGCTTTATAGCTGGTTGGAGCTTATTATTATATGATAGCAACTTTGCATGTGTAACTAGTCTTCACATAACTGCACAATTAACCAGTTAATTGTGCAATACCTGTAAAGTTAGAGGGGGCCTCAAGTATTTCTCTCATTTGGCTGATGCCTAAACACAACTGATGCTTTTTTTTTTTTTAATTTCAGGTGCGAAATTGTAATATGACAAGATACAGAGTAAGAGATACACAATGACTATACTCAGCATCTGGAAATCTGATTTTATGTAAGCCTATACACTGTTCAGAGGTTAGACATTAGTGGTTCCATCACAACATTGATTCCTTAATTTTGTCAAATCTAGATAATTTTTTTCCCCATAAGAGACCTAAAATAGTTTTTGCTAAGCCAGCACCAGTTAGGATGTAAACAGGTAAAAAGCCCAGGAAAACTTCACAAATGGTGATGTAGTTTTTGATATAGTGCACACAGATATATGTTCTACATTTGAAATGTCTGTAGCTTCTTCTGTTATTATTGTAAATAAATATGACTCATTTATTTCATTTTCCAGTTGCTTCTGATGTGCATCACACACTTCTGAATAGTTTGGCTAGTATATTTTGAATTTTGGGGTGCATTTAGTAAGAGTTCATGTAATGTTACATCAGCAGGTTGGCAGTAGAGGCGTAATGGTGACTGGAAAATACATTCAGTTTATGCTTATCTAATTCACCATCTCTAGAACTGGCAAACTTTTCTTACCTACAAACAAATCAGTCTCAATTATCAGTGTAAGTTTCTTTCAGTTTTCTTCTACTCTGCACACCTTCCTTTGTTCACTGTGTGCATCTTTATTTTCATAACATTTGCAGAACATTTGTGCTTTTAAACAGGCAGTTCCATTAAACTATTTTTAGTATGATTTTTCAGTCCTCTCTCAAGTTTTTTTTGCCATTTTGATTAAGGCTTAGAGCAGCATTCAGTAACCTTTTAAGTAGTTCAGGTCATAGAGGATGGGTGGGTGCTAGGACCCTGCTACTGCTGCCACTTTTCCCCACAGTGGCACAAAGAAAGTGTCTGCCTGTGGCAGGGCACTGGTTGTGTCTGCCACTTTAATGTCCTGGAGCTGGCAGCTGCCAGGTGCCTGATGAGGGCAGCCATTTTGGGATCTGGGGCTGCCCATATAAACAGGGCAGCTTGGCTGCTAGAGGTCAGGCAACAACAATGCCTGGCTGGAGAGCTGCTGGTATCATCTGGAGGTAAGGGAGGAGCTGTAGGGGATGGTAAGGAGGCTCCTGGTCCTGGGTATGACCTAAAACTGTACCCTGCTGGGAGTGGGTGGCCTGGTGGGGCTCTCAGTGGCGTGGGAGCCCCCAGGAAATGGCAGGCCAGTTACCACCCCGGTGAAAGGCAGGTCAGGGCGCCTTAACCCCTAGCCTCCATGACCAGATGGGTGACCCCTTTGTTTGGAGGGCCCAGAGGGTGGACCCTCGGAGAGTGAGAAAAGGGCCATAGACTCGGGCCTGTCTGAATTTCCCCTGACTGCCCTGTGCTGGGGCCAGGACCAGAAGGGCTGAAGGGCCGGGGGCCCACCACGATGGACACCCAAGAGCTGCGGGCCTGGGGTTCTGACTGGCCTGGAGGTGGGCCAGGCCTAGTGAGCCGAAGGTCCAGGTGGGAGGATCACACCTGAAGGGGAAGCAGCTCAGGGAGCTATGTT